GAAGGAAGGAAGGAAGGAAGGAAGGAAGGAAGGAAGGAAAAGTTTTGGTGTTTGCCTACTGTAATGGTAGGTTTCTAAACATTTTTGAGGAAGTATTTCATGTGGTCTTCACAGTTAACCTGACAGTGGATATAGCAAATGATTGTTCCTCTTCTTGATTCTTCAAAAAATAAACATTGGGAGCTTACTCACTTTTTCTGAGGTCACACAGCTCTGGGTAGCTTTGCTAATAGCCAGCTGTGTTACCCAACATGTACTTCTTTTGCCATAGTTTCCCCATTTGTAAGATGATAATAACTGCACCAAACTCATACGGTAAGAAATAAATGCTTATAAAACACTCAACATGGTACGTGGCACATGGTGGTAAATACTGATGAGTGCTGGGTGTTGCTGTTGTTTCTCTGAGAGCCACAATTTGAGTAACTTGACATTCAGCAAATTTTATTTTTTACTATACTATATGGCATCTTTCAGAATGTAAGTCGGATAGTTAGGCATGTATATTTTCACGTGTGTGTTTCCAAAATGGTTTTAACCCATGTTAAATTTGTCTTTACTCAAAACATTTGCCAAGTGTTAGGAGATTCTCTCTCTCCTGTGATATTTCTTTTTTGATTTTGACCCAATAGTACATTTCATTTTCTGTGCAGTAAATTTACTTTCAAATTTTTCTCCAGTTTGTTGAAGAAGGTAGAAAATGTTTCATAAAATAGCCATGACACCGAGAACTGTTAGACACTTTATGTATTTCATATATGCTTTGTGTTGTATTTGTTACCTGTAGTGACAGCTTCTTTCAGTATTTGCATTTTCGTAAACATACCTTCAGCAGATACACAGTCACATGTGATGCAATAAATTTTCTGTAGTCTCTGCAGTTAGTTTTCTCATCCAGAAAATGTAATTTAAAAAAAATTACCTGTGACTGCCAGGAGTATTTCTGTTTTGGCTACAGTGCAGAAATTTGATTCTCCCTTCAGACTCCCATTGTAGGATATCCTTGACATTTCCTGCATCTGTCATTCTCTGATTGGCTCATGTTTACACAAACTATTACAAGGTTTTAAACAACTTTATTTGGTGTTAAATTAGCAGATTTTCATTCTTATTCAAACTGATATTCCTTGAATATTCAAACCATCAAGCAGAAAGTATTTTGCATAGTCCCAGGATATCTAACTTCTTTCGAACCAAAATGCAAAGAGGATGCACATTTCCAAAACAAATCTGTGTTTGGGTCAATGTCTTATGCTTAATTGGAACTTGTTTTTGCTGTGTTAACTCTTACATTGGAAGATGTAATCTCTGGCTTTTTTACCTAGTGGTTTGTTTCTTTTTTCAGACCTCTGAATCAGATCCTGATAGTAACTCCTACTTAGAATCCCTGGTACCTCACTGTTTTGCTCTGAAGAGGTCAAAAGTGGCTCAGATTTGTTGGCCTTTTTCAGTATTGCCTCAAATGCATTTTTCTGGGTATCTCTTGTACTTTTTTCTAACACAGAATTCTGGTGTAAGAGGCAAAGCTACATGAGGGTTTTCTAGCTCCTTTTCTTAGGTTTACTGAACTTTCTTCAACCCAAGTAGGAAGAGAAGAAGATTGATCAGTGTTTAAATTGTGTGATTCATAGTGCATAAGTGTGTGTGTAGGAGGAAGGTATGGGCTTCAGAGTGAGTTTTAAGTTCAGATTATGGGCCCAGCCTTTCTTAGCCATGTGACCTTTGGGTGTATTTAACTTTCTCACTGCCAGCTTCATCATCTATGAAGAGGATTACTGATACCTATCTCATAGAATTGTTCTGATTTTTAATTTAAGAATTTCTAGCACAAAGAGGATGACCAGAAATGATATCCCTCCCTAGGGAATAGGTTTTAGTGAAGAAATGGCTTATCTATTTAGAAATAGGGAGTACAATTTATCCTACTCTAGTACAGTAAATTATTCTTTGAAACCAGTATACTTTGAAATGGCTATAACTGTGTTGTGCCAATGGTGGTGTTATTTTACTTGGACTCTAGTGTGTTGACATGTGGTCATGAAATTTGCTACATGTTGATGTAGGCAGTTAAGTTAGGTGCCAAATGGATTTTAGTAGTTGATATTCAACTTACTCAAAGCTAAAGGATTTGAAATGGTTCTCTAGCCACTAGTTCAAGTTGAAAGCATTTCAGGCATGTTTTTACCAGAGAGGATATAGCAGATATTTGGTTAGCTTTTATGAGAATTGCTTGCTATGATCTTCTTTCCCCAGGCATTTTGTACTTTTTTATCGATACTTCAGGTAGTATTAAGTAGTGTCTCATGATTATCCAAGAATTCAGTGGCAAGGGGCGCAGCATCCTAATGTTATATAACTGATAATATTTTACTTACTTAGGTGTAGTTTATGCGAAAAGTCCTAAAATGTGGTCTTGGGTCCAGTTTGATCTTTCAGTGGAAATGTTTTAGGTACGTGTACTAAGTTCTGTATTTTGTGTATTTATTTTAAGTGTCTACTTCCCCTATATAAACTAATTTAGGGGCGCCTGGGTGGCTCAGTTGGTTAAGCATCTGACTCTTGATTTCAGCTTAGGTCATGATCTCACAGTTCCTGAGTCCCACTTCGGGCTCTAGGCTATTAGTGCAGAGCCTGTTTGGGATTCTCTCTCCCTCTCTCTCTGCCCCTTCCCTACTTGCTCGCTCTCTCTCTCTCTCAAAATAAATAAATAAAACATTTTAAAAAAACATCAGGCAGGGCGCCTGGGTGGCTTAGTTGGTTGAGCAGCCAGCTTTAGCTCTGATGATGATCTCATAGCTTATGGGTTTCAAGCCCTACATCAGGCTCTGTGCTGACAGCTCAGAACGTGGAGCCTGCTTTGGATTCTGTGTCTCCCTCTCTCTCTTTCCCTCCCCTGCTCACGCTCTGTCTCTCTGTCAAAAATATTTTTTTTAAAAAAACACTTAAAAAATTTTTTTTTATTACATTTATTTTTGAGAGGCAGAGAGAGACAGAGCATGAGTGGGGGAGGAGCAGAGAGAGAAGGAGACACAGAATCCGAAGCAGGCTCCAGGCTCTGGGCTAATAGCCCAGGGCTATTAGCAGGGCTTGAACCCATGAACTGTGAGATCGTGACCTGAGCCGAAGTTGGACATGCAACCGACTGAGCCACCCAGGCGCCCCTTAAAAAAAAAAAAACTTAAAAAAACATCAGGAATGTGAGAAATAATGTAATATTTTTTTTTAAGTACTAGTTATTTTTCTTAATGGAACACTATCAGAGGAAGTCTTCTGCCTTAGCTCTATTGGTTATGTTTTAACTGGTTTGTCTTTCATTGAAGAAAGCGTATCTATCTCAGGATGATATCCATGCATTTGTATCTACTCTCAATTGATGTGGCAGTAATAGAAACAGGAATAATATTATGGTTGTACATTTAGTGTTAGGTAATCAAATTATTAATAGTTGGGAATATTGCAAAAATGCCTTATATTCCAGATCACTACAAAAATCTCTTAGTGTTTCCTTCCCCTCTTACATTTCTGTTAAGGTCTAGAAATGTCTAAATTTTCTTTTTTTGTTGTTTTTATTTTTAATTAGTTAAAATACAGTGTTAAATTAGTTTCAGGTGTACAATATAGTAATTCAGCACTTCCATACATCACCCTGTGCTCATAACAACAAGTGCACTCCTTAATCCCCATCACCTGTTCAACCCACCTCCCTCCCTCAGTTGTCTATAATTTAGAGTCTTTTTTTTATTTATTTCTCTCTCATTTTTCCCCTTGTTTTGTTTCTTAAATTCCACGTTTAAGTGAAAGCGTATGGTGTTTGTCTTACTCTGACTTATTTTGCTTAGCGTTATACTCTAGCTCCATCCATGTCATGGCAAATGGCAAGATTTCATTCTTTTCTATGGCTGAATAAAATATTCCATTGTGCATGTATATACACACACTGTATCTTCTTTATCCATTCATCTTCCATATCTTGACTATTGTAAATAATTCTGTTATAGACATAGGGGTGCATGTATCCCTTTGAATTAGTGTTCTTGTATTCTTTGGGTAAATAACCAATTGTGCAACTGCAGAATCCTAAGGTAGTTCTATTTTTAACTCTTTGAGGAAACTCCATACACTTTTCCAGAGTTTGCACTCCCACCAACAATGCAAGAGGGTTCCTTTCTCACCACATCCTCATCAACACCTGTTGTTTCTTGTGTTGTTAATTTTACCTTTTCTGACAGGAGTGAGGTGATATCTCACTGTAGTTTTGGTTTGCAAGAAATGTCTAAATTTTCAGTTAAACATATAGGTAAATAAATGACTAGGCAGCATTGTATTCATGTTTTACTAAGTTATGGAGAGCAAGAACTTTTTTATTTATTATTGTCCGCTTTGTGAAAATGATTATGGATTTTTGGGGACCAAAGTACCAAGATTATACCTGGCACAGTTTTGTGTAGGAAAATATTTTAATTACAAATGCCACACACAGGCAAGCTATATGTACTTTCTTTCCTCTTGGTACATCCATGTCCTAAAGCTCTTGGAAGAAAATGGTTTAAAAAATTGCTTTCATGTCTACACTGTAAGTAAAATCACTTGTCATAGCGAGTTGCAAAATGCAGACATTCATTCTGAAGCTGCCTGTTTCTCATTTGGATCTGACATATTAAAAAGCATATAATTAATGGTTGACATTAGTAATTAACATTAACTTTATGGTGCTTAATATGCCATCATTCATCCATCAAATAACCAGAAATGCATAATGTCTTGGCATAAAGGTTTTAATTATATAAAACGGTCCTTCAGTTTTCATATGATATAAACGTTAAAAGCCAAAAATGTATTCAAAGAAGATTTTTGTAAAGATTTGTTGGGCGTTAGCTATATTTTCATTTCTTTTTAGGAGTATGCATCAACAATTGCGTCAGGAACTTCAAAAGGAGAATGTGGACCTAACTGCGCAGTCTTCATTATCGGCTAAAGAGCGCCACCTTGCTGCAGTTGCCAGTGCACTATGGAGACATTTCTTTTCATTTTTGAAGAGTCAGAGAATGTCACAGATAGTGCCTCTCTCAGAACTTGCGGACGCAGCTGCAGGTCAGCGTTGTTAATTTGCTAATTAGCTTCTCATTTTGCAGACTCTGTCAGTTTTTTCTTCTATTTGCTTGGTAACAAACTCTTTTATTACAGTCTAATAAATACTTTGACAACCAGAAAGATAAAAAGAGTTTTGTATTTTTAAATTAAGATCCTTTGGCTTGTTTTCTTCTTAGTAAAGGTAAAAATTAAGTGATTGTTCGCTAAAAATAAAATATAATTTTTGATCTTAAAAATATCGAATGTGCATAAATTTTTCTTATGCGTGCAATATCTGGAAAGAAAAGTAGCATTTGATTTCTTCTAGTTCAAGGACGTTATTTTCAAATTGTGTATGGAGATATCTAGATGTAACATGAAGTTACTTCTGTGAAGAGTAAAAGAATGTACTATGAATTCTACTTCACCAAGCAGAGATAAGAATAACCTCAAATGTATAGACTGTTATTGTTGTGACTTCTAGATTCTATTTTAGGTTGTAATTTTTAATTAATTTGACTCTTGGCCTAAGGTCATGTGCTTAGGCTTTGAGGGAATCTGAATCACATGACGTTGTAGACAAGAATTTGAGTATCTGAGCATATTTGCCATTTTCTAAGAAGAGATCATTATCTTTCTCAAAGGAATATTTCACGCAAAATATGTTAAGAAGTACTAGAATAGATGGAGATCAGTATAGCAACTACATGCCTTTAATTGCAATTTGTGTAAAGGTATATAATGCATTTCGATGTGATTTTTGTTTGTTTGTTTGTTTGTTTATTTTTATTTTTGGGACAGAGAGAGACAGAGCATGAA